CATGTTGCATCACAAAGGTACAAGCTGCAATATGTCTGAGTAGCTGAAGGAAATTTCTTGTTGATGTCTGTGGACTGATCTGAATTTTTGAGTTGAGGTTTGTTAATGTCATGAGGGCTGTACATGGGAAGGTAAGCTCTGGCAGATACTGCATCTAAGCAGGCCCCTAGGAACTCTATCCTTTCCAGCGGGCTCAAAGTGGATTTCTTGATGTTGATCTGCAGACCTAGCCTGCAGAACAGAACCTTTGCTGAATTTATTGTGGAGAGAACATTATTTTAAAACCAGCCCTTGAATAGCCAGTTGTCAAAGTAAAACAATTATCCCCAGATGTCAAAGATAAGCAGCAAACAAACACATGCATGGCAAAGAAAGGCCAAAAGGAAGCACCTGATACTGGAAGTGAACTTGACTGACTAGAAACCAAAGGAATCTCTTGTGCATAGGGCAATGGTTCCCAAACTGGGGTTCGTGAACCCCTGGGGGTTCGCAAAATGTTACAGGGGGTTCTCGGGGAAAAATTCCCTAATGGCAGACAGAGCTGTCCCTAGGGACCCCGGGCAGCACGGGGCCAGCAGCCCAGAGCTCCTGGACTTTCAAGAGCTAAGCAGATCAAAGCAAGCATCTCTATCACACTGAGGAGATTTAAACGTCAAGACTCCTTATAAGAAATGGAAAGGGAGGTGGATAGTTTTTGCTGTTTTTAAAATTAAATAGGCAGCTAGTATTGTTTTTAAAATTATTATGAAGAACAAGTTTAAGCTTTGTTGTAATGTGCATTGTTTGCCTGGACTGCTTGTGTAGGAGGAACGCTGCGTTGGCTTCTTAAATACCTTCCTGCTGTTTCACATCTGATACTCCTTGATGAAACCTAGGAGCCTTGTCTTATAACATGCTTATTCAAAGTGACACAAGCTACGAAAGTGAGAGCTTGGAATTGTGTTGCCGTTTTCATAATGTAATAAAAATAGTCACGATAAATGATAATTAATAATAAATAGTGTGTAATAAGCATGTCATAAAAACAAATTTTATGTCTCCAAGATCACTGCTTTTATAATTTATACTCAGGTCAAGGAGAATATCCCTAGAAATATTAATTTTTAGGAGGGGGTTTGCGAGACTTGACATTTTAGTGAAAGGGATTCACAGGTTGTTAAAGTTTGGGAACCACTGGCATAGGGTGAACCATGACATGAAAATATGCATCCTGAAGGCTGAGAATCAATCCTTTGGTTCCAATGATGGAATTATAGCTACAAGAATCACCATCCTGAATTTTTGTGTTTACATGAAGTTGTTTAGTAGTCTTAGATCTAGAATCGGTCTCCACTCCCGCATTTTTGGGGGACCTGAAAATACTTGGAGTAAAAACCCTGCCCCTGTGTTGAGATGGAACTGGTTTTGTGCCTCCTAAGTTTAAAAGGGAGTCCATTTCCTGTTTCAGCAAGTGCTTGTGAGAGGGTCCCTGAAAAGGGATGGGGAAGAGAGGCGGGTCGGGGGGGCAGGGAGGTAAAATTGATGGAGCCATTCAATTGTATAACTACATTGGACAAACGAGTGTTGGAAAACTGCTATCATGCGGATTGAGAGCGGGAAAGAGGGCCTCCAAAGATGTGCGGGGGGAAAGGCAGGTAGAATTGTATAGTGCAGCTCCGTGGTGTGGGGTTGTTCCAGACTCTTGACCTGTCCATCAAAACTGTTGTTTTGATGATGATGAAGGCTGAGTGATGTATGCAGAGGAAGAGGGTGTTCTATTTCTTTGAAACCTTGGCTTCTTTCTGGGCAGTGATGTGGGTCTCTGAAATACTGAAAATGGAGCAGGATGGGATCTCTGTGCCAGATGTGATCTGCTAAACTTTCATTTGCTTGCTTGTGGGGATCTCAAAGGGGCCCTGGAATTCCTGCAAGGATTTGTCGGTGCTTTCCACAAAAAGTTTTAATCCATCAAAGGGGAGGACCTTGACCTTGTTTTGGACCTCTCTTGGGAACTCAGACAGCTGGAGTAAGGATGTTCTATGCATGACCACTGCTGTAGAAATGGAGTGAGACACAGTATCAACTGTGGCTAAAGGGCCCTTGGTGAGGTCCCAGTTAACAGTTGGCCCTTGTTAATAATAGACTGACGTTGCTCGTGATGTTCTGTCAGCAGATGCTCAATAAAGGTGGTAGAATAACGTGTATGGTTATGTTTTGTGATCCTCAACTGAAGTGTCAGACAAGTAGTTCTTACAGCCAAATAGGTCAAGATATTTTTGTTCCTTAGCATCAGGTGTAGATTTTACATGGTGCTGCTTGCCATGTTCATTCACTGCTTCCATAACCAGAAAGTTAGGTGCAGGATAGGAAAATAAAAGTTCAGAGTCCGTAGCCAGGCCATAATATTTTTTATTGGCACTCTTGCAGGTCGGTGGTATTGTTGCTGGGCTCTGCCAGATGATCTTGGCAGGGTCCAACAGGGCCTCATTAATTGGCAAGGCAACTCAAGCAGAGGAAGTCCACTGAAGAATGTTCAGGAGCTTATGCTACGACTCTCTAACCTCCTCTAAGGGGATCTGTAAAGAGTCTGCATACATTTCATTCAGTCCTGAAATTGTCTGAAATCATCAGCCAGAAAAGCTGGAGGAGGCATTACCATCTCATCCGGAGATGATGGGGAGATATTTGCAGAAAAGCTTCCTTATCTGCTTTGGCCTCTTGCTCTTCAAAGGATTCCTGCACTTGAGGTAATGGAGGAGGGATAGATGGGGTAGGAGAATGTCTCCTTATGTGGTTGCCACATGAAAGACAAGGGACTTGTGAAAATTGGTGTTGACATGCAGCCTCGAGGATCCCAATATGGCCAGAGAGAGAGTTCATAAGGCATGGGAGTGGCACCCAATGATGATTGAACCAGTGCGAAAGGATGTGGGTTAGTCCTGGGTATAACTCCTCTCTTTCCCCAAAAGTGTCAGGAGGGAGGTCCCTTTGGTGAATATGGGAACCCTGCACTGAGATTTGGAAGTCAGAAGAGAACTCCTCATCTGAAGGAGGAACTCTACCACTCTCAGAGGGTTGGAGAATCGAATGGTACTGAGGAAAGGTCCAGTCTTGGTGACTGTGTCACTCACGTACCAATAGATATTCAGTAACCACTAGCAGGGGAGACTCCAGCTCATCTAATATGAGTAAGTCCCTGGAGTATCTGAATTCCTGTGGTACTGGGCTTGTTGGCACATGGCAAGTTTCCACAGTTGGTACCACAGGCATAGACTGCTCTGATAAGTCTCATACGATGGAAGTAGCTGGCTCTGATGAAGATGGCTTAGGAGGATTTGTGACAGTATGAGAAGTGTGACATATGCCCAGTACTGAGGATGTCTTGGTGGCTGGCTTAGTTATGGAGGGTACTGAGGGAGCTGTAGGTATCACCCTTTTAGAAGTAGAGGGCTTAAACTCCTTTGCTGCAGTGTCCTGCTTCTGCAATAAGATGCAAGATATCGATACTGAGGCATGTTTGGTGCATTTAGCCTTAGAAAAGCTTGGAGCTCCATGCACAGGGTCAACACTGACAGAGCCTGGGGCCTCAGTGGTACCTAGAGCAGGACTTGAGGTCTCCAAGTCCTTTGGTCTTACTTTGAGAAGACTGAGGCTTTCTCAAAGCAGACTCTTTAAAAATGAGAATGAGTCCTCCCAAGGATCTCTCCTGAGTAAGTCTGGGTGAGTGCAGATGTTGACAGGGCACTATGGGCTCTCAGAGGCTGATGTCTGGATCCAAGGCCAGATGGAGATAACACTACATCATTAAGAGCTTAAGTTTACTTCTCAATTCTTCCTGGCTCTGCTTTTAAAAGCTGAACAGATAGTACACTTCTGAGGGATATAAGTTTCCCCCAAACCATAGATACACCAGGAGTGCCAGTCACTGATCAGGACAGCTTCTTGGCAAGTCAAGCAACAACTGAAACTCAGGACAGTGGATCTCAAAAGAAAAAGCCCCCCTAGAGGTGAAGGGATTATAGAACAAATCCGTCTACAAAATGAAATAAGCATAAAATTAAATTAAAGGAAAAGAAAGAAAATAATTAGACTAAGGGCAAGCTTTGAATAGTAAAGTGGACACATTAGCACTCTCTCTCTGACTGTGAAGGTAGGTTTGCCCGGGCAACCCTATATATCCTCAGTGCAGGGCATGAGGATGTGTAGGACACAATGGGCACTACCACCAAGTTTCCAATTAAGGCGTAAGCACACCTGAACTGGAGCACTCATAGGGACACTACTTGAAGAACAACTCTGGGACATGTATCAAGACAGCAATGCAGCACTAACAATCTATTGATATTACACAATAGACTTTTCTAACATGGACAGGGCCTTAGTACTTATATAGCACCAATCCTTGTCATATCTAGGTGCTGGTAGCCAAGCTCTGGGACAATGGAAGGTTTGGATGTGTTTACAGGTACAAGGAGTTATTCTTTTGCATACATTACAAGACACAGGTTCAGTCGTGCAGTCCTTAATCACGAGTTGTCTAACTGAAGTCTGTAGGGCTGCTTTTTCTAGCTCTAGCCTCCATGCTGTGTACTTAGAAATATTGCACAACACATTTCTGTCAAGCCCCGTGCAGGAGTATATTGAAGGCACTTTTCTTAGTGAAATCTAAGTAACTATTATTCACAGTAGCCACTAAATACTTAAAGTGTTTCCAAAGAGCAGCTAAATTGCCTTATATATATTCTTCTTAAGCCCTTTTGCTATATTAAAACTCTTGCAAAATACCAGTTAGAGCTTTTTCTCATGATAAATGAATGGATTACAGAATTTACATTTTGCCAATTCAATTCTCTCCTCACTCTTCCCACACACCTCACCCCACCCCAAAGGACATTCTTAACACCTAGTGTGTAACAGAGTGTTTTCATATTGTTCAGAATCATGATAAAAATTCAGATCTTTTAATGTACATATAAAACAATTTAAATGTATTGGATTCTACACCGTGAATATGTGGAAAAGATATTTAATTGTAAAATAGAAAAAGTAGGCCAGAGTACAGTTTTAAGGGCAATGCCTTTGAATACAGTATAGGTAAACTAGACTTTAAGTTTATATAAACAATATCATAAAAGCAGTGAAACATGGAAAGACAAAGCAAAGCACAAATAAAAGACAAGTTATGTTTTACAAAAAAGGAATCCGCACAATAGTTCAAAGTTGAATGTAACACGGCATCAAACAGTCTTAAGGCAGCGTGACCTAAGGTCGGGACTAGGAGCCAGGAACTCCTGAGTTCTATTCCCGGGTCTGCCACTGACTTATGTGGCCTTGGGCAAATCACTTAACCTCTCTGTGTCACGCTTACATCAGTTGTAAAATGGGGACAATAATGTCCATACCATAGGGGACATAGTGATGATTAATTCTTTACTGATTATACAACACTTTGAAGATGTAAAGCACTATATAAATGCTAAGTATTCGTACAGATCACTGCACAGACAGACACATTTATCACAGTGAAGCACAATGATGGTAGATAACAAGAGCACCAAAACAACATCAAACTTTCAGGTCCAGGTGCATAATTTAAATGCAAAAGTCTGTTTATAAAATGTGTCCTTGAGATAATCTGAAGATTATTGGGGAAACAGCTTAATAAGAATATTTTAAAGGAATTGCTATGTGGGTTCCTGTGGAGACAGTCTTTCATACTTCTGTACTTTAAAAATGTTTACACATGAAATTTATAAGACACACAGAAAAGTGAAGTTTCAATGCCCCCCACTGTCAGCATTTTCAAATAATGTCTGTATTACGTAAATTAAGGTTTTTTTTATTTTTACAAATTACATTCTTCCAAGAAATATACCATTCACAATAAAACTGGCTGCTAGCTTACTTCAAATGACATTTAGGCTAAACATTTTTTCCTCTCAATTTCCCTCATCTTTGCTGAAAAATATCTATGCAAGATGTGAGTAGAAATTATAAAAACATGCAGCATATGTACAAACTGAAAAGTTTAAAAAATATTAGCTTCATATACATGTAAATCTACTTGGATATACTGGAAATTAAATATAAAATTTTCACTTTCTAAAACAAGGGTTTTCAGAAAATCTAAGACAACTACTTAAAGTTGTACAAAGATTTCCATCGGGTCTAAGTTGTTCCTTATAGGAATAACTATTAATTCATTTTGTCACATAATTCATTTTCAAACTGTCAATCTTAATCAGCAACATCACCCTTAAAACTGTTCTGTTTTTCAGAAATTAGATTTATACTAAAATCCAAAATTTCACAAAAACATTGGCTTCTTGTGTTTCTGGATCCCTTCAAAAAGATTTATCAACTCACTTTGGAACTGTAAAAAAAACAACTATTTACAGTATTTCATTTTAAATACTTTTCACAATTTCTAAATTCAGCTTTTATGTTACAAGAAATTCATCAGAGCTCATGGCTTAAGTCCAGTTATCAACCTGTAGCATCTTTGCTATTGTGTAATCCCATTTCTGTACCTATACAGTGTACAGTTCAAGATTGTACTGCAGTTTTCTTGACTGAAAGTAACAGACTTTGCAATATGTCCATTTCAATATTTAAACAGCTTCTTTATTAGTCTGGAGACGGGTCATTGCCTCTAATTTCTGCCGATAGGCCTCTGCTTCTTGCTCTTTCTTTAGAAGCTGCTGTCGATACTTTTGTGCTTCTCGATTTGCCTCATCCAGCTGTTTCTGTAGAGTTTCTCTCTCCTATTAAAAACAAAACAGCAATGTTTTGTCAAATGCATGTTAAGTGCAAGATAAAATGGCAGTTTTTGGACAGCCAAGGTATAAGGCATCATACACAGAATCAGAAGCTAGGAGGTCCAGTCCTGCAGTTTACTCAGGCAAAACTCTCACTTAAATACTTGTGTAAGTAAACAATGAAAGATTGGGCCAGACAATTGCTCACAAGATTTAAAGTGCAAATATACCAAAAAAATGCATCCGAAGAAGTGGGTTGTAGCCCACGAAAGCTTATGCTCTAATAAATTTGTTAGTCTCTAAGGTGCCACAAGTACTCCTGTTCTTTTTGCGGATACAGACTAACACGGCTGCTACTCTGAAAAATATTCCAAAAAATACTCTCTCTTTAAGAGTATGCTCTTATGACATTTTCTCAGGGAAAAAAGCAATCTTTGGAAAATATGTTGAATATTTAGGCACAGTTGTCCGACTCAGTTTCCAGAATCTGAATTATTTTTAAAAAAGTTCAAACTTCTTTAAAAAAAAAATCAATACACAGTTCATATCCAAGCAAGTTTCCCACTACGAGTGTGTATAGAATTAGAAATGGACACGTCAGCATAGAAATAGAACTTCCAGGGACCAATTCTCCTACATCATGATAAAAGTAACTTTTGCCATTAGACTGACAACCTATTCTTTCCCCCAGTGAGGTGAAATAGGGATTTTCCACCTTACAATACATACATCTCTAACTGGAGGGAGAAAAAGTTTGCTCATCAATGAAATTCTTAACTAAGGGCCCATCATGCATCTGCATCCATGCAGGCACAGGGGTTTGCCCACACAGATGCAGCTGTAGGACAGAGGCTAAGTTCCAGTTGCAGAATCTTTATTTCTGGCAACAATGCAGAAACCAGAAGGGACACAGCTTGACTTTCAGATCCACAGCTAATGGGAAAAACCTATTTTACTTGTAAAGTGAGCAATCTGATTTAGAAATTAATGAGATACAACAAACATGGAAATTCACAAGATTACTTCGAGTCATATTTCAGACTACGATAGGTGATCAAATAAAAGAGTGTGCTGGCTGTGTGTGTACACTGAACAATTAATGAACACTGCATTCTAATGAGGTAACTGTTTTTCAGCCCATCAGAAGTACATTTTTAATCTACTAAATAATTTAAAAGGGACTCGGACACCTTAAATCTTGTTTGAATATTTTTTTAAACCTAGTATTGTTACAAGGAAATTTTGCCTAGAATTATCCCTTAAGATTACTGTAACTAAAAGGAATTAGAGAAAAATATTTTTTTCTTCCCTCCCCCCTGCCCTGCCAGCGTGTGCATTTGACAGCGTTTACTATATACAGTTAGTTTGATCAGAATTTAATGTCATCAGCTAACAGTAGCTTGCTGCTCCTCACTATAAATGACAACCAGGCTTTTATGGAAAATAAACTTGGGAGACAAAAGCAGAAGCATGCCAATCAAATACTGTTATAATACAACAAAGCTCCATTACAATTACATTGAGTGTGATCTGCTTCCCATTGATGACAAAATTCTTACTGACGTCAATGGGAGTAAGACCATGCTCTTTATTTCTATTCAGCCAATTGGATAGTGTAATTTTAACATTTTAACTAATGGCTCTCCATGCTGTAAAGTGATGGCTGCTCACAATACAATTATCCAACTTCTATATTCTCATTCGTTTCAGTCACTGACTATGAGAATATTTTGCATTTTTTTCCAAAAGGACACTGTACTTTTATGAATTAACAAGTATTTGGCTAGATTTATTTTTTAAAATTTGTGTAAAGTGAATTATAGTTGGCCATCCTACAAACCAATTGTCTGGCATACCTTGCATCTGCTATATTTAAATATGATGTCACAGAATGGTTTCAAGGCAAAGTGAGACACTTCATTTCAAAGCAGGAGACATTTCCTGTGTCCTAGGAAACATAGCTGAATGTATTTCTATTGTACTCAGCTATTAATGATGTAGACGCTGCCATGTTGTTTGATGCAGAAGAGCCACCGTGACAAACTGCATCCTATTGAAAACTGACTGCCTTGGAAAATAGCTTTGTTTTGATCTTCACTCAAGCAGAAGCCATCTTATTAAAATAAGTGCACCATACTTTTATGGATAAGCCAATTTCTGATTCAATCACTCTTTTCACTTTAATCACCAAGTAGTAGTTGTGGAAGCAAGACTCTCAGAAAATGAAGCTGCCAAGCTATCCCTCAGGAAAATGTTGGTCTATCAAAATAAGACAAAGACATTATCACCATACTCCCTCATGCTTTCTCCTTCACTCTAGCAGCTCAAAACCGTATTACTGTTTCAGACCTCAAGCAGGTCTGAAATACTTTTCTATAATACTTAATAATATACTTTTCTTCTCAGCTCAGTAACCCTACTCCTCACCGGTTTGCATGATTAGTACCTAAAAATGTTAAATAAATATAATACACATAGTATGCCTTCCGCTTCCTCCTGTCCCCAATGCTAGAGCTACCTTTAGCTGTCACATGTGGTGCTGAATATGTCAGAGTATAATGACAAAGGTAACTGATCAGTGCTAATGTTAGCATCTGTGTAGCAGAAACAATAGGTGGAGAGATTTTATTAAGTTTCATAAATGTTAGTCATCAAAATAGAGAAGAAAATAAACTACATATATTGTAGTTGCTTTATATGGGGCTTTACACAGTTTTGAACACTGGGCTGAAAGGGAAGCTAAAATCAATAGGTTTCAGAGTGGTAGCCATGTTAGTCCGTATCAGCAAAAACAACTAGGAGTCCTTGTGGCACCTTAGAGACCAACACATTTATTTGGGCATAAGCTTTCGTGGGCTAGAACCCACTTCACCAGCATCTGATGAAGTGGGTTATAGCCCATGAAAGCTTATGCCCAAATAAATTTGTTAGTCTCTAAGGTACCATAAGGCCTCCTCGTTGTTAAAATCAATAGGTCTGTCTCAGTTGGAGTATGCACGAATAAAATGAGTGCTCCATCTTAAATGGTGATGATCTGGATCACTCACTTGACAAGATAATTTGGCATTCAACTTCTAAGTTTATCGTCTTCGGAATCAGAACACTGCCTTGTAAGACACCATGTGAATGGTTTAATAGTAAATCAACCTATCCAACAATTGGACTGGCCAATTATAATTGCCTTTTGCAAAATAAATATTTAAATTCACGTCACAGGACATGTAAAGTGCAATTATACTCTAAAAAAGTATAAAGTGAAGTTAGCACTGTGGGGTACAAGTTTGTGCCTCAGGGACATCCAAGATCAAATTTTCTCAGTTTATTAGTGAACAGATGACTTTTCTAACTGCCACAGCTGCAAACTCAACCTGAAGTCTGAAAATCAAATATGTTCTTTCTGGCTTGTAATTATCACCACTAAAAAGAGATTCCACAACTGGAACTTAGTGAGCTGATGATGCAAGATGAGAACTGAATTCACCTCTCTCCCACAGGTATATTTTTCTGCAGTGGAAATAGGGGAAGCATAAGCTTATTTAGGAGCTAAATTCTGCTCTTAGTTATACTGCTATAGATCTGGATTAACTAAAGCAAACACACGTGACTCTAAATAAAAGGAACAAATCTACTGAGTAAGAAATTGTCTTTTTAAAAAGTCTCCACATAAAGTGTGCTTATGTAGCTAATGGAGGGGAATGAGACATAAACTGCAGATACACCAATCTCTAAAGTAAATGGAAGATCTGATGGTGTGTACTATTTTAAATGCTTAAATTAAAAAAATCTATGTCAGTAATAAAGGAATAATACAAAAAAAAATAATATAAAAGTAGAGTTAAACTTTTTGCTTTATGGTAGATTAGTCTTCTGGTACAAAGGAATGTCAAAACTGTGATGTTCAGGAATTTGATGGGGAAAAAGAACAAAATCTTCCTCTTATTTGGAAAGGATTTTTTTGCACAATAAATATCTACATACTGCTTAGAATTACATGTCTGAGAAATGCAAGATTATTTTACAAAAAGGAGCTAGATCTGGGTTCAGAAATAGGTAATTTTATCTTATTCAGAGCTTTGTACTATTTAAATTAAAACAGCAATTCTTTTAAGTGAAGATAAGAATTTTAAATATTTTACTGGTAGCTACTGTACACATACAAACCTTGAAAACATAAGATACATACCAAGCTTCCTCTAATATGAAACAATCCACATAAATGAAAATTCCTTGCTTTTAACTAAATCAGTTTTTTCTAACGTTGTCTGAGCCTAAAGTCAAGTCTGCTTATTAGAGAATCAAGTTGTAAGTAAATTGTGATTATTTCCAAAATTGAAAAATACAAGAACAATGACACAGAAAACGCCAATCTGCAGCTACTCCTGGGAAGCAGCAAGTAGAAGAAAACAGAAAGGGAGGGTACTGGAAAAGATAAATACTATATACACATGAAAAATATTTTTTAAGGAACATAAATAAACAGAGCAGACAGGTTGAAGAAAACCTATGGCATAAGAATGAAGCAAGCCCTAAAGGAGGATCTTCACAGATGTCTTCATCGGCAGATCTTTTCTTCCGTCATGAAGGTGCTAGAGATCTTGTAGAATGCACATGGATTCTTGATAGATGAGACTTCTTAAACTTATGCAGGATTTATTATGGCAGTCTTGACTCCTCTGCAAATAGATGCTTTAAAACCTTTCCTGGTGCAGCCCTAAATCAAAAAGACAACATCAGGCTTCTGCCACGGCTATACAGTACATAAAAGGAGAGAAGAATCACTTCGTTGAGAAGAATGGATTTCTTGATTAAGAGGAAATAGAGAATATATCTTGGATGTGAATTCCACTAGTCTTCTTTTAGAAGAAACAGAGAAAAAAAAATGGTTATCTACCTTTCGTAGCTGTTGTTCTTCGAGATGTGTTACTCATGTCCATTCCATTCTAGGTGTGCACATGCACCCACGTGCACAGTAATCGGAGATTTCTGCCTTAGCAGTATTGGTATGG